AGGGTAACGGCCGGGCTGCGAAGCAACGGGCTCTCGGCTGCTCTGGGGTGTGGAAGAAGAGCCCGAGCTCCCACCTACCGCTCGGCGTTCGGCCCCCCAACAGGAGAAAGAACCTGCGCTCGCCCCTCACTCTGAGGTCAGCCTCGGCCTCGGCCGGCCATCAGCCCCTGCTCTCCCCACAAACGCCCACGAGGTCCCTGGAACTCGCCACCGGCCTCCAGCCAGCGACACCACTCAGACGGGCACGGTTTGCTCTGGGGGCTGGGGTACCCGCAGCCGGGTTAATGCCTTTCCAAGTGCTGGAGACACTCCAGGCTCGGAGCTGAAGGAATTCCCATCTAAATGCAAATCAGGGCCTGCTGGCTGGGAAGGCAGAGGAAGGAGGGGTGCTGGATGAGGCCCCAGCAGGGAGCTCGGGAGGCTGCTGTCCCGGCTGGCCACGGTGCCATCCCGCCTCGGTGCCATCCCGCCTCGGTGCCATCCCGCCTCGTGTCCCTGTCTCCAGCACGGCCCAGGCGAAGGACACGTCTCCTGCTTCTGCGCACGCACAGCCTGATGCTCCCTCCAGCCCGGGCTCCAGGAACCAGAGGACGCGTCCACTCGGGAGAATGTCCTGCCCCCCCATACGCCTCCTCCCACCACGGACTCTGCTGCCCGCCTGTTCAGCAGGAGAGGGAGGGCAGTTCCCGCCCACTGCCTGGTGCCCAGTGCCCAGTGCCCACTGCCTGCCACCCACTGCCCACTACTGCCCATTGCCAGCAGCTCACTGCCCACTGCCCACCACCCCACTGAGCTCTTGTCCTGGTGTCTCTCCTCTGCACCAGTGGCAGAGTGTCCCGCGTTCCCCAGGCCCCTGGGGTCTCCCGCGGTCAGTGTGTTCAGTCCCTCCCGGCCCCAGCAGGCTCCATCTCTCTTCCCCGGGAGCACGGTGTGGAGGCAAGGCTGTGCGTGCTTGGGCGCTGTCATCCAGGCCGTCCTCCCAGCCAGGGGACAGAAAGGGAGCAGGGACCCCTGACCTGAGGCTTTAACTCCCCCACGCCTCCTCCCGGGGCTGATGGGGACAGGAGTGCCGGGCGCAGGGAGGGCGCCAGCCTGGCTCGTGCCTGGCTCCCTGAGCCCCAGCAGGAAGGAGCCCTGAGCCCAGCCGGGCGTGGCCCTCCTCAGAAACAGTCCCCCCACCCGGGACCACCCTAGCACACAGCTTGGAGATCCCAGGCTCGGCCACCTCCTGCAGGCCTCTGGCCCACGCCCCCCTCGGGCCTTGCTGGGGAAGGGAATGTGGCTGCCCCAAAGACCACTGGTGCTGGCAGCTGAGTGCCAGGAGCTTCTGTGAGAATGGCAGGAAATAAGGAAACCGACCTCGGAGGAAAGGCTGGGCACAAGGGCTTGAGGCTGGCAGCTGACGAGTGGGCTCTCAGCTTCTCGGCTCCCGGCTGCACCACCAGCGTGCACAGCCGGTGCAGGGTGAGTGCACAAGAGGGAGCAGCCGGGCACAGTGAATGTAGGACAGAACAGCCGGACACAGTGAGTGCACAGGAGGAAACAGTCGGTGCATTTAGTAAATGCAGAGAGCAACAGTCAGACTGAACGCACAGCAGGAAATGGTGTACAGTGAATGCAGAGAGGAAACAGGCGGACACCATGAATGCAGAGGAAACAGGTAGACACCGTGAATAGAGGAAACAGTCAGACATGGTGTATGCAGAGGAAACAGGCGGACAGTGAATACAGAGGAAACAGTCAGGCACGGTGAATGAGAGGAACCAGGCGGGCTCAGTGAGCGCCTGAGGAAACGGCGCTCAGTGAATACTAGGCTGGAGTTGGGACTCAGTGGTTAGAGCACATGACTCATACTTGTGAGACCCCAACATAATACACACATTAGAGACATATATGTGCATGTATGTATATAAACACACAAAGATCCAATACCTTAACTGGGAACGCAGCTGCCAAGGACCAGAGTCAACAATCCCACAGGCCAGGACTCTGGGTAGATCAGCTAGCCCCCGCCCCCACCCAGCTCCCCCCTGCCCCCCTGCCCCGTGGGCTCCTCTTGTTGGGCTGTGCCCCCTCTCCCCACGGGCCTGGGCCCTCACCGCTGCTCCGCACCCCAGAAAACCCTCCTCACGCCCTGAATCCGTCCCGCTGACCCTCAGATCAGCCCACTCACTGCGTTCGCTGTGACTTGACGTTTCGGATGGGAGATGCGGTAAAGATAGGCACAGACATTCTCCCCACGCCTGCGGGCAGGGGCTGAGTGCGGCTTTTACACGACGTTCACAATGTTTCCCTCACGTTTCCCAAGTGGAACTAGCGCCAGGGAGAAGCTCTGGGGAGGGGCACCCCGTGGCTCCCCGCGCCTAGCACAGCCAGTCCTCGTGTCCAACCCCGAGAGCCAACTGCAGAACCCGGGGCTGGCGGGCTGAGAACCCCCAGGAGCGGGGCTGGCAAGAGCACGGCAGGAAGGGCCTTGCCTTGCACTCAGCTATCCCAGGTTCGATCCCCTGAGCTCCGCCAGGAGTGATCCCTGAGCACTGAGTCAGGAGTAAGCCCTGAGCACCCCAGGGGTGACCCAAACCCAGGAACAACAAATAAAAAAGAATCCCTGGAGTGACCTGCACAGGCTGGAGTCACTGCTGGGAACCCCCCACCCCGGGGTCTGGTGACAGGGCTTCAAAGGGACCCCTCGGAGTAGGCGGTGCCCGGGAGACCTAGGAGGACTGTGTCCCCTGGGGGGCAGGACACACCTGCAGGGCGGGCAAGTGTGGGAGAGGCCCTGAGGCCCGAGCACACACGCGTCCTACTGGGTTGCAGTCCCAGCAAAGGCTGCAGTCCAGCCCCGAGACATTGGCTTCTCCTCCCTGAACCCACCTGCCCCAGCAACTCACCATCCCAGCCAGAAAAGCCCCCTGGAGTGAAGCCCCCACTGCCCTTCTTCGTTGCTCAGCAGTCTCGGCACGATCTCCGCCCCGTACCCAGCACCGGCCTGGCCTGGGCGTCTCCCCCAGGGCCAAGCACAGGGCAGCCCCTGGCTGTACCCACAGAGGCCACCCAACTCCAGCACCTTCGTCCCCCTGCCCGTGGGCAGTGCTGCCTTCTCAGCGAGCACGGAACAAGCTGCCCACCCGGGCTGTCCACCCGGGATGAAGGAGCCTCCTCCCCACCCCGTCTCCGAACAAACACGTCTGCGCAGAATGACATGGCCCGGCTCAGCCAGCCAGGCCTGCCAGACCATCCCGACCCCTGACCCGCTGCAGGGCTGGGGCAGTGTCGACCATCCTGAATCTTGACCCCTGGCCCCTGACTCAGCTGCAGGGCTGGGGGAGTGTAGTAGCTGCTTGTGTCACTTCGAGTCCCCCGCAGGAAGCGACGGTGGCGACAGTGTGGGATTAATTCTCCTGCTGATCTGAGGCCGTTGGGCCCATGTGCACGGCCCAGCCAGGCCCAGAGCTGCGAGCTTGAAGGCCCTGCCCCCCTCTGGGTCTCACTTCCTCTGCGCCGGCCGACACTCCAGGGACACACAGGTCACACCTGGACCCCAGCCCGCCCTGCCCTTCCCCGGCTGTGTGTTCGGTGGCTCGCGGGGGCCCGGGGATGCTGGTGTCTGTCCCACAGGCTGAGGCCCTCCGCCCCGGGGATGTGGGGGTGACCGCACTCACCCAGCTGTGGCTGGGCCCTCCCTGTCCTGCTGCCTCACCACAGTCTCATGGGCACAGCCCGGCTCTCTCCTTGCCCCTCTCGGCTGGGCCAGGCTGTTCCCGCACCAGGGAAGCTCTCGCCATCTCCCGAAGGGCAGGAGGCCGCAGCTTGGGGTGTGGACACCTGCAGCCACACTCTCCGGCGGCCTCAAGCACCACAGACCGTCAAGCCTGCCTTTCACTCCACGACTCTGGTGTCCGCTGGCTTCCTGCCCGGGCTGGCAGACGGGAGGTGAGCGTTCCCCGAGAGCCTGGGCACCGTCCTCCCGCCCCAGCTGCGGCGGCTAACTCCGGGCAGTGCCCACTGGGCCCACGGGGGCCTCCCTGCCGGTTCACCGTCGGCCCGCCCTGCCCCGGCCTCCTCCTTCACGTCTTCCCATGCGTCACTTCCCTCCCCCAAGCCCAGGCCAATTTTCTTTTCTAGAAGGTTCTGCTAACCTGTCCCCTCCAGTCATGCGAGGCGCAGACGGGTCGGCGCCCCAGCACGAAAGCCTTCACTGTCCCCGTCGGTCACCGTCTCCTCTCCCACCGCCAGGGCTGCAGCCAGGCCGCACTGTCCACTCTGCCCAGCTGCTGCGGCCCCTCAGCTCTGCGGCCGAGCTCAGGGTCAGCAGTTAGGAACCCCAGAATCACCCCCATCACCTCCTGGTCCCCTGAGCACTGCTGGGAGGAGCCCTCAGCACTGCAGGGGGTCGCCCCCAAACTGCACAAAAACGAACGAGATAAAATGAGAAAGGAAGAAGCGCCTTGGTGCTTTCATAACGATCACGGAGTGAGACCGGCGATGCATGTTCCCTTGGACCCAGAGCATCTTCCTCCCCGAACACAAGCATGGGGTCGTGACCCCACCCGTGCAGCGAGGCGGCACTGGGGTCCCCACAGAACGAGACACGAGTCCTGCCCACCGGCCTTCCCGCTGCGACACCCTGGGGGCCCTGACCTCACCTGGTCTAAGCCACTGACTCCAGGCGTACCGAGCCCAGGATCCGACATGAGGACGGGGTCCTCGCCTGCCCTGCCCAGGGGTGCGGTGGATGGAGGGCATGAACTGGGGCCCAAGGGCGGTGTGCGGGTCAGTGCCAGCTTCCTCCGGTCAGTGCTGACCACGACACGTCCTGTGCCAGGGCTGGCCCCCACACGACACGAAACAGAAGCCCCGGGCACGGCTCCTGCTGGGTCTGACTCAGTCCCCGGCCGCCCCTCCAGGTCCCTCCAAACTGAGCTTTCCCGTGGACGCTGCCCTCCCCTCCCCCGCCCTCCGGGGCCACCAGCCGACACCGCAGCGGGGCCCTGACTTACGGTTCTGGGGGGAGGGTAGTGCGCTGGGGACACCGGCAGGGGCCGGGCCGGGCAGAACCTCTGCGCCGAGTCCGGCGGGGAGCAGGAGGCGTAGACACGGTTCTCCAGCCGCTCGGGCTCATGCCTGTAGGACTCCAGCGGGAACGTGTGCTGCTTGTTGACCGCACTGGGCGTGGACGGCGAGGACGAGAGGCCTGCGGGGAGAGAGCCGTGAGGGGGCGGGACCGATAGCCTGCGCGAGCCTCCGTCTGACCTGCAGCCCCTCACCGACCCCGGGGTCGCCGGGGTCCCCCTGCAGGGGGGCTCCCACAGACCAGGAACGGGCGGGAGGACACCCAGCTGCACCTGGACTCTCCCTTCTCCCCCCGACCCCCCGTCTCAGCACTGCACCCGCGGCCTGGGGTGGGCCTGCCAGGTGTCCACGGCGGAGGAGGCCAAGAGCCAGCCGCCACCACCCCAGCGTGGGCAACGAGGTCTGTGGGGTCCTGTGCGGGTGCAGGAGAGACAGGGGACGGGTGCTGACCCCAGGCTCCGAGACCAGCGTTGTTCCAGGCCAGAGTCCTGGGAACGCAGAGGGTGTCGCGGCGTCTCGGGTCCACCGGGGAGCCTGAGCTCACACCTTGGCGTGGACACGAATGTAGACGGCCACGCACAGACCTTTCCTAGGCCCGGGCAGTACGTGGGCAAGTGAGGGCAGGAGGGGGTAGGGCCGCAGCCCCCAGTGCTGCCCGGTCCTCTCCTGCTCCGGTTGAGCCCAGCTCGGGACTCCAGGGCTGGCCCGTGATGCCCCCAGGCCGCCAGCCAAGGCCTCTCCCGGTGCTGGGGGCCCAGGGCCTGGGACCCCGCCCCCCGCTTTGTTTAAAGTCACAGCGCGCAGCCGCCAGCAGATGGTTCCTGCAGTGAGATGGGCTGCAGACCCCACCCTGACCCGCCTCACCCCCACTCCCAGTGTCCTTAGAGCAGCAGGACGAGGTGGGGGACCCTGTAGGCTCCCGATGTCCCCGCCTCCAGACACGCACTGGGCCTGTGTGCCTTCCCGGCGTGCACCTGCCTTCCCTGGGTAGACCTGTCCTCCCAGAGTACACCTGCCATCCCAGAGTATGCACACACACTCACACACATGCATACACACATGTACACACGCGTACACATGCACACACACATGCATGTGTGCATACACACATGCACATATACATATGCACACACATACATACTTATGCATACATACGCATACACGCATGTACACGCACCTGTGCACGCATGCACACACAAATCACACATACACGCACACATATGTACACGTGTACAAATCACACACATACACACATGCATGTATATGCAGACATACCACATACGTGTACACATATGCACAAACCACACATGCACAAACCACACATGCATACACACATGCACACACACACGCACGAATCACGCATAGACACACACACACACACACACACTGCTGGAGGCTCAGCGGCAGGCATCTCCAGAGGGTCCCAGCAGCCCCCACTGTCCCCGGGTGTGACCGAGCATCCTGGTGCTCTCCCCTGTTCAGGGCATCGCCTGGCCCTGACTCCGGCCCTGCTGCCCCTGCGGGAAGGACGCGCCACGTCCTGGGCTGGAACTTCTGATTCTCCAGGGTAAGGAGTTAGAGAGGGTCCGAAAATTGCTCCGAACAGAAGCACTCCTGGGAGCACATGCCCGCCCTGACGTTTGGTGGTGACTCCATGGGGCCAGGGTGCCACACGAGCACTGCAGGGCCCTAACACAGCCCCGAGTGCTGCGGGGCCCCATCTCACCTTCTGAGCACTGAGGGGCCCTACTTGCCCCCCTGAGCCCTGCGGGGTCCTACCGCCCGACTTGGCAGAGGCAGGCGTGACCCTCGGGGTCTGGGGCACAGGGGGGTCAGCCAGAGCATCTGACCGCTGGGTGAGGTGAAGTGCTGGGGCACACACGGAGGCGGGAACCCCAGGATCCAGAGACACCCCCACCGCTCCCGTGAAAGCCACTCAGGGAGGCCTGGCCACACACCCGCAGGGGGTCTTGAGGTTCAAAAGCTGCGACGTGGACGTGGAGGTCCCTGCTGGGGCTCCCTCCCCTGCTGGTGGTGAGGGCGGCTTCGGCTGAGCTGGTGGGTGCCCCTGCCCCACCCTGCCCTACTGTCCCTCTCCAAGCTGCCTGGGGACTTGCTGTTGGGAGAGATGCTGCCCCCAGGAAGCCTTCCAGGATGAGACCTCGCTGAACGGCCTCCAGACAAGCCCGAGGGAAGCGGAGCCGAGCCTGAGCACTGTGAGGGGGGTCGGGGGGAAGAGGGTAGGCCCCTGCACAGGGACCCACGGCTTTGCGGGATGCCCCATCCTGGGCACTCCCCGCCCCTCGGCGACCCTGCCCAGCGGGGTACCCGGCGCTGTGAGCTTCCCCAGGCAGGGCTGTGGGGCTACATCCGACCTGCGCCCGGGAGCCAGGCCCACCCGGCCGTCCACTCGCCTGCCCGCCCACGCAGAGACGCTCCCTCCTCCCACCTTGCCGTGGCAGCCAGAGAATCCTCCCGGGGCCCCGCTGCTGCTCTGCCAGCTGCTTCCAGACCTTGCCGGAATGTTCCGAGCCGCCTCCTCTACATCCTCCCCTGGGGTCTCCCCACCCCGCCTTCTCTGAGGGGCAGTTTGATACCAGAACCAGCCTGGAATTCTGTAATGGGGGCCCTGAGCTGCCTGGGGGGCACGGGGTGGGCTGTGGGCAGTGGGGGGGGGCTTCCCAGCGTTCCAGTGTGTCGGGGCCGGGAGGAAGGGGGAAGAGGGCTGTGAGCCCAGCCCCAGGCATCCGGAACGCAAACCACAGAGGTGAGGAGGGAAGGGGGATTTGCGGTGCCTGATCCCCATCCCACCAGTGGGCCACAGGCTGCACACAGCTGCCCCCGCCCAGGGCCCCTCTGAGCCACCAGCCCCAGGCAGGCATGGCCTGGGTGTGGCTGACACCGCACGGTTGCAGGGGTGATGACGAGTCCCGCAGGGATGCCGGGTGATGGCAAGTCCTGCAGGGGTGCGGGGGTCAGAGTGGCAGGGGTATGGGGTGACAGCGAGTCCCCACAGGGGTGATGGCGAGTGTCTCAGGGGTGTGGGGTGTTGGCAAGTCCCACAGGGGTGCGGGGTCAGAGTGGCAGGGGTGTGGGGTGATGGTGAGTCCTGTAGGGGTGTGGGCGGTGACGGTGGGTCTTGCAGGAGTGTGGGGGGTGATGGAGAGTTCTGCAGGGGTGCAGAGGTGATGGCGAGTTTCACAAGGGTGCAGGGGTGACAGCGAGTCCTGCAGGGGTGTGGGGTCAGAGTGGCAGGGGTGTGGAGTGACAGTGAGTCCTGCAGGGGTGCAGGGGTGATGGCAAGTCCTGCAGGGGTGCGGGGTCAGAGTGGCAGGGGTGTGGGGTGACGGTGAGTCCTGCAGGAGTGTGGGGGGTGATGGAGAGTTCTGCAGGGGTGCAGAGGTGATGGCGAGTTTCACAAGGGTGCAGGGGTGACAGCGAGTCCCGCAGGGGTGTGGGGTCAGAGTGGCAGGGGTGCCAGCGGGCATCCTCTGCCCTCCTGAGCCCGCTGCCCAGCCCAGCCTGCACAGGGGAATGGAGGCCTTGCCAGGCCCTGCCGGGTCTGGGGTGGAGGGGCTGGGGGGCTCCTGGGCTTGGGTGGACTGTGGGGTCGGGGCAGCACATTTCTGGGCAACTGCTCCATGTGGCCTGTCCGTGTGCCCTGCCCGGTGTACCGCATCCCGCCCCGTGTGCTCCGCCCCGTGTGCCCTGTCCGTGCGGGCGTGCACGAGACTCGTCCTTCCACCAGCCGCCACCGTGACGGCCGTGGGTGACCCCGAGCCCAGAGGCTGCCCGCGCCGGGCCCCCACCCAGCCTGCCTGGGCTTCACTCCTGGGGCGCGGCCGCAGCTGGACTCAGGTCTGTTGACTGGACACATCAGCTGGCCCAGGCTGGTCGTGAGCCAGGACGGGGTGCAGGGCCCTGAAGCTGTCCAGCACCTTCCTGAGACCATGCACACCCCCAGGGCTGCTCCCCAGACACGGGGGGGGAGAGGCGGGACCCCGTGAGGGACACGGCCACCCTGGGGTCCCCAGGAACAGCCCGATCCGGAGAAGCCTCTGCCCCCAGCTTCGCGGGGGCGTCCCACAGCCGCCACACCCTGGGCAGCCTCAGAGGGACTCTCGGGCCCTCCACAGCCTGGGGTTGGCCCTGCAGGTGGGCTTGGGGTGGGGGGACCCAGGAGCACCTGAGAAACGAGCCCCAACTCCTGCCTGGGTCCCCCGACAGGCAGAACAGGGGTGAGGTCAGAGTCTGGGTCTGAGGTCAAGTGAGGTGGGTGGGGGTGGCGGGGGGTGGCAGGGAGGGTGGGGGTGGGGGCAGGAGGTGGTGGTGGGGTGATGGGGATGGCGGGGAGAGTGGGGGTGACAGGGAGTGGGGGCGGGGACACAGGTGGGTGCCGCAGACCCATACGAAGCTGTGATAGGACGTGGGCGCCGTGCAGGGGTGCAGGGGGGGGGGTGCTCAAAGGGTGGAGCTCGTGCCTGCATGCACCTGCCAGGGTCCACCCCTGGTGTGTCCCCCACAGAAGCAAAGAAGTCCAGGGGCTCTGGCAGGCCGGGCCACGGCTTCTTAAAGTCCACCGGGAGGTCGGGAGGTCAGGCAGCCCTCAGCAGAGACAAAAGCTGAATCAAAATGAACAAACGAGGGGCTGGAGCGATAGCACAGCGGGGAGGGCATTTGCCTTGCATGCGGCCAACCTGGGTTCGATTCCCAGCATCCCATATGGTCCCCTGAGCACCGCCAGGAGTGACTCCTGAGTGCAGAGCCAGAGCCAGAAGGAACCCCTGTGCACTGCCGGGTGTGACCCAAAAATTAAAAACAAAAAACAAATAAAAACCCCGAACAAACGATTGAAAACAATGACTAACAGAAACGGGACCCCCGCCAGCACAGAGCAGGAGGCGTCTGTGGTGATCCCTGGGAAAAGGAAAGGGTGTCAACTGTGTCCCCAGGCAGGCCTGCAGACGTGAGAGCCCAGGGGATAGCCCCAGGCACCGAGCGCCCTTCATGGCAGGAAGCTCCAGCCGGGGCAGGGGGCATCACGGCAGTGACCCAGCACTGGGGTAGCCCAGCCTCCCCCAAATCAACAAAACGGGGGTGCGGGGGCCTGACCCAGAGAGA